AAAAATTCACAACATTGTGAATAATTCACAACATTGCGCAATGTACTGAGAATCTATCATGGACTATTTCTATATCATGCACATGTGATCTTCGCATGAGACATTCATCTAGGATCTCTTCTGCACAACACTTGCCAATATTCAGAAGCAACAATTGCTGAAGACAACACTTTGAGGCTCAGTCAGTGGAAGGGTATGTTGCGGAGGAAGATTGGAATGTGAGATGTTCTATATTCAATTCCATAAAACATGTAATGCAATTTTATCTATGTACAAGGACTGAGAGATACAACATGCTGGTGCAATGTAAGAATTGTGTATGAGTATTGAGAAGGGCAGATGAGCCCAGATGAGATCTGCCCTTGAAGAGTAATCAGAGCCAGATGTGTAGCGAGTGAGTGTTGTGTATTTGAAGGTCAGATGAGCCCAGATGGGATTGCTCTTTACAGAATCATCAGAGCCGTATGTGTAGCCAGTGAGTTTTGTAGATATGAAGCTCAGATGAGCTCAGATGAGATCCCCCCCAATGTATTGGCTTGGAATCAAAGCTCATTATGTTATGTACACGGGTTGAGTCAAGCTGTAGCAGGTATACAGTGTTTGATTACCAAGTTGAGTCATAGTACACATGTACAACCACCTAGAATGGAGTCGTGGTTGAGGGTAAATGCAGCAGATGAATCTGCCTGATGAGTAGCCAGATCAATCTGCTACGGCTTTAGTGACGGTTGTGTAGCCAGATGAATCTTAAGACTTTACAATAGTCGGGTTCAGATTCATACAGATGAATCTGAGACTGAGCCAGATGTGGGCAGATGAGTCAAATTTCGATTTTTGGGCTGCCTAACACCTGCAGAGGCACTTTGGGGATGTGAGATAGGCCCACAAGCTCTAGAGACATTCTAATGCATGTTTATGATGCAAAAAAAGTTGTTTTATTTGATGATTTTACCACTTAGATTTATAAAAACTTGTGGAGTTATTTCAAAAAATTTTCTCAGAGTCATCTGTCACATCTGGGCTCATCTGCGGCCCAATTTTCGGACATTATCCGTTGATACTGCATACATTATCTTCGGCTTACAGCCGAACATTCTGTGCGCCACAGGTGGTTGTTTGAGTGGTCCTGACATATATCATTCTCAAACCATTCCTCCACATCCCCATGCTCAATTGATTCGTCCACAAACCAGGCTTCAATACTGTCAATGTCGGCGTTAAATGAGTCTTTTGATAAGTTTTCTGGACGCAGAAAGCTGCCGAACGACAGCTTTTCACTCGCTGGGGGTTCTAGATCAGGACGGCGTGAAAGTGCATCTGGTTTTGTTGATTGGCGGCCTGGACGGAATCTGATATGAAAATCAAAACACCCGAGCGTCTCAGCCCATCGGGCTTGTCGTCTGGTAAGTTGTTTTGAGGTCATGAACGTTTCTAGATTCTTGTGATCGGTATAGACCGTCACTTCTAGTCGGTTGGGATTTCCTTCTAAGTAATGTCTCCACTCTTTAAAAGAGGCGACCACAGCTAATAACTCCTTGTCAAATATTTCGTAGTTACGCTCGGCCTGCACCAGTGATTGAGACAGGAACGCAACTGGGTGCATCACATCTTTGTCGTTGAGTTGGGAGAGGACAGCACCCAAGGCAAAATCGGAATAATCGCATTCAAGAATAAACGGCTTATACGGATTCGCAATTTTCAATATCGGCGCGGTCGTGAATGATGTTTTGAGGGTGTCGAACGCTTGTTGTTGTGCCTCAGTCCAAACAAAAGGTACGTCGTCTTTCGTCAGATCGTGTAAAGGTCGTGTGATCTTGGAGAACTCGCTAATAAATCGTCGATAAAAATTTGAGAAACCCAGGAATCTTTGAATTTGTGTCACGTTCTTTGGAACTGGCCATTCGCTCACTGCTGATACTTTCAAGGGGTCCATGCGGACTTTATTTTTCGATATAAGTAAGCCCAGATATTTGATTTCCTTTTTTGAAAACTTGCATTTTTCCGGTTTTAACCAAATGTTGTGCGATTGTAGGATTTGGAGTACTTCCTCAACTACCTTTTCATGGTCGACCCCTTTCGGTGTATATATCAGCAGATCATCTAGGTACGCAGCTAAGTCTCTTCCGATCCTTTCACGTAAAATGTCCGATATAAAGAACTGGAAAAAGCCAGGTGCGCCTGTTGGGCCAAACGGCATCACTAAAGGTTCGAATTGTCCTCTTTTACAAATGAAGGCTAATTTCTGTTCATCTCCTTCCTTTACTCGCAGGTTGTTATACCCGTTGCGCAAGTCTAGGCTTGTGTAGTCCTCTGCGTCTCGTAAGTTGTCCACTAGCTCCATTGTAAGGGGTAGGGGATACTTATTCTTCACAGTAAGTGCGTTCAACTTCCGGTAATCGAAGCAGGGACGTAGATTACCGTCCTTCTTCCCTGTGAAGAGGACCGGTGATGCCCAAGGTGAGGTCGTGCGTCTGATTGTTCCTTTGGCGAGGCCTTCATCAATCATTGAGTTCAATGCTGTTTCCTCTGCAGGTGACAGCGGGATGATTTTGCTAGCTTGCGGGGTGGCCCCAGGGATCAGATCAACCCGGAAATCGTATTGGCGGTGCGGAGGTAGGGTCATGGCCTTTGATTTGTGAAACATGTTGATATATCGATGGTACCGTGTCGGGACTAACTCCTCGGCTGACTTAGTAGGTCAATCTTTGGCGTCGTCTGCGGCGAGTTTGGCGGATAAGTTCCATGAGGTGCTTGCGGCGCATAGAGCAGGGGGCGATCTGTCATCACACGGTGAGAGCTTGTCAACTGATTCACGTGCTGGGTCTGGAGTGTTGTTGTACTCACATCGCGGGGGCTTAATCTCACTATTACTGAGAGCCCCCTCGCCACATTTCCTAGTGTTCCCCAATTGGGCCTCAAGGCTTGTCGGGGTGGTTTGCGGAGCAGGCGACACTGACACAGCAGCGGCGATGGTGCGTTCTTGCGTTAACGTTGGGGTCTTTGGATTATCTGTCTCGGTATGTAATTTCTGTAGGAAGGGATCCTGCTTGCTAGTTGTTCCAGAAACTAATGGTGAAAAAAAATTCTTAGACTCACATCGCGGGGGTATAGTGTTAGTCTTGCTAACTACCCCCTCGTCACTGTCCCTAGTGTTCCCCAATTGGGCCTCAAGGCAATCCGGGGATGGTGGCGGGTTGGACGAAGCCGCTTCTAAGGCTGCAATGTTTGGTGAGTTCTTCGGTTCTAATGTGCCGGTCTTCCAGTTGATACGATGCCCATTCTCGCGTAGTCAAGGCATACCGAGAATAGTGTCGTACAAATCTTTGATGGTCGTAACTAAAAATTTGGTCTTGTTCTGGTCGGTGTCGATGAATAGGTCTGTTTCAAGAGCAACAACGCGTGGGGTGCCATCGAAGCCGTACACTTCTCCCACGGTTGGTAGATCTGACACAGGTAAGCCAGCGCGGTCTGCAAATTTCTTGCCGATCACGTTGTGCGTGGAGCCGCAATCAATTAAAGCATGGGCTCGGACGTTATGGGGATTTGGGGATGTGGCGCAGGGAGTCTCAGAAAGGGAAATAGCAGTAAACACACGGGGATCATATTTGTTAATTGCATCTACATGAATTGAGTCTAGTTCCTTTCTTGATTTTTCCTCACTCCGTCCCGGGGGTGGCACATCCGTCACTCCCGAGCTGCGCCATTTTTTGACAAATCTGCTGCTGATGATGATGATCCTGATTGATTTCCTAATCCTACTTGTAATGCAGCTATCTTGGCCTCTAATTCTGTGATCTTTCCTTTACCCCCAAACTTTCCTCTACCGCCTTCTCTACTCTTAGCACCACACCAACGAGCCATATGATCCGGCTTCCCACACTTAAAGCACAGCCGACTGGACATCCTCCTATTATACTCCTCTGACGAAATGTTGAACCTGGCCGACAAAATATCCATGGCATCTGGGTCCGTAGATCGAGTAATGGTAGCTGGATCGACTATCTCTCCCCTCAAATCGTTGTCGATTGCACAAGCTAGTCTGGTGATACTCTCTAAGTCATCGAACTGGTCGCGGATCATTGGAATTCGAACGGCACTCTTCAAGCCTTGACGGTAGTGGCTGATGAGTGTTGGGAGTTCCCATTTGGTGGTAGGTGCCAATTGATTGAAACGGATAGTGTATTCAGCAGCTGATTTAGTTTGTTTTAAGGCTCGAAGGGCTGCTTCTGCGCGTTTTTGACAGTCCGAATCGAAGAACACTGATTCAAAGGCTCGTGTAAACTCAAGGTACGTGACGGGGTTGGTCTTTGTCTCGGCAGGTTCCATGATACGTTGGAGAAATGGCTGAGCCCACTTTATGGCCCCACCAGTCAGATACGAAATCGCAAACATGACCTTGGCCTTGTCGGTGGTGAACAGGGCTTTGTTCATGGCGATATAGATGCCAACCTGACTTGCGTAGGCCTCTGCTAGAGCTCCTCTCGCGCCTTTGTACTTATCAGGAGTTGCGACTTTAATTGCAGGCACCGTAGGACCGGTAGTAGGAGCAGGCGGTGCAGCAGACTGGCCGTGTCAGGGGTTGGAGCTGTCGGTGGTGAGTTTGTTGCGCCGTTGGTTTGTGAAGCTTCTAGCTGCGCCACTCGAGCCTCTGCCTCATTTCGTCGATTTTTTTCTTCAGCGAGTTGGGCTGCTAGTTTGGTACGTTGGGCAGTCTCCTGATTTAGACGGGTGTTGATCTCGGCAAGTTGTTGGGCTAGGCAATTGATGTCGTCGGTAGTGGCCATGGTAAGGGTTTGGTCGTCTGTCTCGACTTCGTGCCAAGAGTTGCTGTCGATCGACTCGATCTCGTCAGTCGGCAATTGAAAGGAAGGCGTGGTGTGTGGGATGGGGTGCGTGATCTCTGAATTTAACTTGAATGCTTCTAACTTTAATAATCTAATAAACTTTCTTCTTTATTAATCTTCTTCTTCTTCTTAAAAAATTTTCACTTCTTTCTTCTATTGTGATTTTTAATTTTAATTTTCTTCTTCTTTTCTTCTTGTTTTTTCTTTTCCTTCAGTCCGTCTCAGATAGATGCTACAATGTGTTATGGCCTGCTTCAGGGGGCCTGAAGTTGGGGACGGAGGGAAGGAGGAGGTGGTGACTATGATGTATGTTTATTGTAGCATGAGGAAAAGCGCAATACAAAGTGAAGCGCTATCTTAGTAAGAGGTTGAGGGTGGTACATGTCACAGATCCGTGAAACCCCTGTGATCCGTGATAGGGTCATAACACATTTTCACTTATCTTTTTTTCTTATGCTATTTACAATTATGTGCGCAATGACTGCGCCACTGCAATGCGACACACTGCGCTAAGTATCATTGCAGGGGATGTTGCCAGGACCCCGGAATGCCCCTATAAAGGGTAGTGAAATAGTAAGTTTCTTTTTGACTTCTGCGGTGTTAAAATTCATGGGATTATAGACAGCTCGCTTTGATTCTGCCGATTTCTGCCTTGTTTTATTGCTGGTTTTTGCCATCAATGCCAGCCTTTGACCACTGCTTGTCTGCGCATACCCTCCTAGATCTATGGGTGAAGCCAGGAATGGACTTAGCGTTTTGGCAGGGGTGGAGATCTGCGGAAGTCAAAAAGGAACTTTTTATTTCACTACCCTTTATAGGGGCATTCCGGGGTCCTATGTCGCCTTGTAACTACACTGCGCTGCTTACACACCGCAGCGTCACGCCTGAGTATAGTTTTGCAGTGCATCACAGTTTTTCACTTAATTGCGGTGCACTGCGGTGACATCAGGGATTGCCTCCATCCTTTGCTGTTTGTGTAGGCAGCAAAAATATGGCACCTTAGAGGCAATGATCAGCTCTTCCCTATGGCTGGTGAATTCTGGGTTAAAGGACATGAGGATTGTGTGGACTAAGATTGTGTAATGTTCATGGTGGGATGGATGGTAGGCTGGTCTTTTCTGCTTCTTGGATCTTCTCAGCATGCACTGGACTTTTGAGGTGAAGACCTAGGTCATTTGAGGTGTGGCACTAGACTGTCTTGACTGTGAGAGCTGACTCAGATGAGTTGGTTCACTTCTTGTTTCTGATTCAAAAAGCACTGTTAAATCTCTGAATGAGTTGGATGACTGATAGTGTATTCACAGCAACACAAGATTTGTCTGTTTGAAAAAATGTGATTGTGTTTGCCACACACTTTTTAGCCTGGGGTCTGGGGTACGTTTTTGTCCCGTCTTAGGCCCAGATGGCGGGGTTTGCAGCTTCTCATTGGCCAATTGTGAAGCAGCTGCTGCATAGGAACCAGAAGCACCTGCATCTGGTTGGCTTTGATTGGTTTCCCTGACTTTGCTGCTAAAATGGCTACCTGCTTGGTGAGCACTTCAAACTTCTTGTTCCCCAAGCTAGCCCGGAAATCAAAGGCTGGGTTAGAGGTCAACATTTGGGGGTTCATCAACAGCACCAACAATCTGGTGAAGCCTGCAATATTGGATGCCCGTCTATGGAAGAGTGTTCTCTTTGTTTAATCAAATTGGTGCTGATCAAAGGTGGGGTTGATCAGGACTAGGATATTGGTGCATGTGTCAATGTCAATATGCACTTGTTTTGCAAGTGAGCCTTTGGCCGGGAGTTGCATCTTTTTGTTTGCAACTGCCACTAGTTTAGCCAGGAAACCAGTGAGGGAACAATCCTCCTCCCTGCCTGGTACTAGTATTGACATCGTCTCGGATCAAGGGGTTCCTGTGATGATTTGGATGTGGTCCTGAGCAACAAGTCCTGGGGTGCTGAAATGTGCCGTCTTCTTCAAAAGCTCGGCTAGACGAGGGATTTTTTTCGCTTTGGGGTCGTGCCCAGCGTTTCGGTAGCGATTTCGACTTGGGTTTAGCTTCGATCCCAGCCTTGGAGGTACGAGGCAATCACGTCACTGGTATGACTAGAAGTGTTCAGATCTTTCCACCTGCTGGCCGAGTTGTGTGGGTGGGTTCATATTCAACCATCTGTCCCGTGTCGAACGCGTCAGGGAGCATCGGACGCGAGATATCGATGGGAAAAGAGGTTGTTGATGAAGAAAACAAGTTATAAGGAGAATGTGATGGATGAGTGAACTTTTGGGTCACGTGACCTCAGGAAAAAGCTGTACATGCATGCGAAGTCAGAATTCCTTCATCTCACATTTCCAAAATGTGCTCCTCGCATTTCAGTCTGTCAGAGCTTCGAGAAGTCTGCGCGACTCAATTGAGTAGGCAATGAAAGTTTCGATCGAAATGAAATGAGGTGGGACATTATCTTACATAGACCACTGCCTCCCTGCGCAGTGGGCCCCAATACTCCTACCCATTTACTTGATTCTCGCCGCCCCTCTCAAAGTCTGTTGGACCAAATCATCATCATCATCAGCTAGCGACTCAGTCTTGGTATTTGAGACAGAGCCACGACCTTAGCATGATTCGCATCCCAGGAATTCTCTCCGTGATTGGTCTCTTGTTTGGAGAAACCCTTACGCAATCCAACAACATCACATCTTACACTCTCAAAGAAGGTCCATTGGACACCGAATGGACCAAGAAAGTCGGCTTGGACCCATGGCCTGAGTACCCACGTCCTCAGCTACAACGAAAGACTTGGCAGAATCTCAACGGATTATGGCAGTTGAAAATTGGGAAAAGCTCGTTGGACTTGGATTCGCCCCCGTTTGGAGGAGCTGGGTTCGATCGAGAGATTCTGGTACCGTTCTGTGTAGAAAGCGCATTGAGTGGAATAATGGAAAGTCACCCTCACGTATGGTATCGAAAGACATTCAAGGTCCCGGCGGATTGGAAGGGAAAGGTCTTGCTGAATTTTGGTGCAGTCGATTATGAAGGTATGTTGAAATCCATCTTCGTCTAAAGTAGGTTGATGTTGACCACGCTTCTGGACCATTTTCACAAGCCACAACCTTTCTCAATGGGCAGAAGATCGATTTTCATCGGGGTGGTTATCTCAAGTTTTCGATCGACTTGAGCAAACATCTTAAGCCTGCTGGGGACGAGAATGAATTATTGGTATTTGTCTATGATCCTACGGACACTGGCGGTGTAAGACCAGGTATGATTTTCGAACCGAAATCTACCATTCCTTTTTGACGCCGACCGTTCTCAATCTTTGTATTGCCAGTGGGCAAACAAGCGGTCACGCCGAGTCACATTTTCTATACTGCAACCACTGGAATTTGGCAGACTGTCTTTTTGGAGCCAGTTCCTGACGTGTATGTGGCCAAGCTTGATGTTAGTGCTGATATGCATGGCCAAGGTCAGTGGGATCGTCCTTCATACTTCATCCTCGGCAACCTAATCATCTAAGATTGACTTTGCAAACCTTAATCAGTGAGCATCACCGCCCGAGCATCCGATCCGCAAGCTAGCGTTCCGGTCAAAGTAACACTATACCCACAGAAGCCTTCTACGAGTGGTCCAACCCCTTCTGCCCTTCTGACGGCCTCCGGCACGTCTAACAAGCCTTGCAATTTTAAATTGGATGCTCCCAAACTGTGGTCACCTGCAGCACCGAATTTGTACTACTTCACTGTTCAACTTGGAGATGACGCGGTGGAGAGTTATCTTGGCTTCAGGACTATTGAGAAGAAAGTCGACCAGAAAGGGGTTGTGAGACCTTTTCTGAATGGACAATTCGTTTTTCAAATCGGCCCGCTAGATCAAGGGTTTTGGCCAGATGGTGTGATACAACTTTATTTCATTCTGACTTCGCTGATCACATCAGATGATGAAACCCTTCATCGGGCTACTATGAGTTCTCTTGTTGATATATAAACCTTTTCATGACGTAGGCATCTACACTGCACCCACGTACGAGGCGATGGACTTTGATCTCAAGATGCTCAAACAATTGGGCTTCAATATGTTACGAAAGCACGTTAAAGTGGAACCTGACTTGTACTATTATGCCTGTGATCGATTGGGTCTACTGGTTTGGCAGGTGCGCTTCGGCTCCTACTATGGCTTCTTCTATTATATAATCTTGTGCGGGGTGAAGCTCATCAAAAAACTATTCCAATCTTGATAGGACATGCCATCGCTCAACCTAAATCCAGGCCCTTCGATCGAGGATAGCGCTGAGTTCGAACGCCAAGTTTACAGAACAGTTGCTGCCTTGAACAGCTTTCCATGTATTGTGACCTGGATACTTTTCAAGTGGGTAATTCAGTTTCCTCTCACTATCGTCATCATTTGTTGAGTTCATTTCCTGTCTACAGTGAAGGCTGGGGCCAGACTTCTGGTCAGACTTCTGGTTCACCTGAAATAGATATCACTGAGAAAGTTAGAACTCAAGACTCTACTCGCTTGATTATGTCAGCTTCGGGTTGGAGAGGTGTGTGCCGAGATTTTTTTTCCAACATGGACCGTCACCAACTGAACATTGCCATTCCTCGGTCATCTTTTACTGACTTCATACAATATCTTCATAGATCATGGGGCAGGAGATTTCTCCGACAACCATCACTACGGTAAATTGGTTCAGCTTATGCCCTCGTCTAGTGTGTCAGGACCATGGAAGCTGATCACATGTTTCTATATATCCGAAAAAAACGCTTCCATACCCCTTCCTAGCTGCACCGCAATGCGGAGCTCCATTTTTCTCATTGGATTCTTCACCATATGATCCAAAACGTATTGGATCACAGGGAGAGTTTGGAGGAATTGGTCACATACCAGAGCTCAAAAACGCTTGGAAAGTTCAACAGGCACTCGATTCACAAAATAGAACATATGAAATTACTAACTCGACCGAAGTATGGAATGAACGTGCTTTGTCTGTGATCGAAGAATTGAAAGAACAATTCGAACTTTATAGTTGTAGCGCTGGAGTTTACACTGTGAGTTTCTGATATTCATGTATTTTGCCTTGATATACCGTGGACTAAAATTTGTCCATAATCGACAGCAAACGAGTGATGTAGAAGGTGAAGTCAACGGACTGGTAACGGTAAGCCTTATTGTTTTCACGCCGCGCTCTTTTGCTTCGTGATTCTCCAGAACACGATATATACTGAACCCACCCCTTTTCTCAGTATGATCGACGTGTTGTGCGAGCAGATGTTAAGAGATGGAACACGCTACTCAGCTCACTTCACAGTAAATCCAATTGAATAGCGGTGTCGTGAGACGATAGGCGATAGCATCTACAATTCAGCTGTAGTCGAACCTATCCTGACAATAGGGGGGAGCCAGCGCGCCATCCTTCAAGAGGTGTATTTCATCGGTCATACTGCCCGGGTTCCCCGAGTGACTTCTTAATGCTTTCGTGCCATGCGGAACATCCCCGTCCCGAGATTCTTACAATAGACTCATCTCTTATTCTCTCTGCTTATGTCGTTATCTCGCTGTCTTTATGGATTGTTTTTTTCTGCCATTACATTTGTCCTCCACTTAATCATCTTGCTCGAATCGAGTCAATTGTATATATAGCTTTATTGTTGAAAATCTCAATATTTCTGTCGTCAAAGGTTTTGTTTGCTTGTGAGACACCTCAATGAGCTCTTGATTCCCTTTCACCAATCTGATTTCCAAGCTAAGATCGGTGAATTGATACTGACTTATACACTTTTACTCAACACTTTTTGAATGGCTTCAAAGTATTTCATCTTTCCTAGACGCTGAAGTTCTAAATCAGCAGGAATTCATGTTACAACAAATTTCATCATGACAAGTTACTGTCAGACTGGTTGGGTTCCCTTCGTCAATGCGGTTTGGGCAACCAGTAGGATATACAAAGGGGCAAAGTATTTCATCTGATAATTCATCGATGAAGCTTGGGTGAATTTCAAGACGAATGGAAGCTTTACCCGAGTAAAACTTTTTTTGCTTCAGCGTGGAGAAACAAGTATACTTCTGCTTGCAAGATGCCAGTTGCGCTTGGGAGCCCAAACAAAGTCATTTTATCCTTCTTGACTATCCCCAAACTCTTGATTCCATCATACCCGTTGCAAACAAGCTTGAAAAAAGGTATGTAAATTCTTGCAAGTTGCACTACACCCCTACCAACATACACAGACATCTGGATCAGCAGGCGCCGCGGTAGTGCATAAATACGTATTGTGCAGAGGCATCTCAAATGCTGATTTTGAAGGTATGGAGTATGCCTATTGCAAAAATGATCACCATGTTGACTCTTTCGTGTTTGCATGTGGGCTGGTGATCTCGACACAGCGTGTCACTGACTGACCGAGCTGTCACATGCTGTGAAAGATTAAACGCAGCTCGCAGTTGATGAACCTTGGTGGTGGTTATTTTGTCGAATTTGACTTTTTTGCCTGACCATCTATGTAGTTTGATTTCAGCACAGTTCTTTCTTTATATCACGATGGCTAGGCTCACATCAACTTCAACAGCGGGAAAGCAGCAGACATTCGCGGACCCTCCAAAAGGCGCTCAAAGACCTCCTAAACGAAAGAGGTCTGCTAAAGATTTTGTAGACACCAGGTTCAAAGTAAGCAAAGTTTCCATATGCTATCTCGCATCTTGAAGGTCATTTCTCCTGATATTGATTCTTACAATCGGTGTACAGTTCAGCTCTGCGGCTTCACGATCGAAGAAGCTCAAAGTCAATCTTAGTCATGTTGTCACTGCTCATCCCAGTCTAGCCCTGGAGCTCGAAGATAAAGACGGTCACGATTGCCACTTTTCTCCGGCTCTTAAGAATGCCACATTGGAAAACCTTTCGATCCCATTCACCAAATTGTATCGAAATATCGAACCTATCACTCGAAGCTTGCCACTCCTATTACACCACAAGGACCAGGTCATCGACGCTTGTTGTGCGGCGTTAACAATCCAATTAGGGGACGAAGACGAAAATGATGATTCTCAACCTTTTCCGAAAACTCCATTTTCAACTCGAGCAAGAAATGACCATGTGCAAGCCGAAAAAGAGCAGAAGCGCAAGTTACTGAAGGCTCGAGAAAGGGTTGATCTTGTAGCTTCAACAGTGCTTGACCTTCTGGTTCCTTTGATCGTGGATTTATCGACTGCCCTACTCGATGCTTCACCGCTTACCAACAACACCTCATCCTTCGAAAAGATTCTTACCACCTTACTCCATCTCATCAATTTACCGAACCCCGACCCACAGACATTGGAAAAATCTACTCAAGTAATCGTCCATCTTTTCAAGACCTTGGCGAAAGATTTGGTTCTGTCCGATGAAGAAGAACAACTCGGCAACGATAGACTTCATAGAATATGGCAGCTAGCTCGGTTTGCCCTGGGTGCACCATCTCCCTCAAATGATATTCAACGAACGGAAGCCAAAACTCATCACCATCAAGAGACCGGAGAAGGAGCTCTCAAATTGCCCGAAGAAGATGAAGATGGTGCTCAAAGTGACACAGATTCCTCACATCAAGTTCTGGCGGCGAACGTAGATGAAGGAATCGATGCAGAGTCTCTACAGGAGGAAGACGAATTACTCCCCACTACTGAAGAGCTGGACGCGCTCCTACCTACACCTTCACAAAAGCCCACCAATAATCATGACAGCAAGCCAGACGCTCTCAAACGTGTATTTTACGCTACCAATTCATCGACCAGGAGACTTTTTGCTACCTCATTGGCTTTTTTGATCCGGAAGAAGAATTGCTCAGCTCAGCTCATTCAACTTATGCTCGATGATTTGATGGCAGTAGAGTCGGAAGAGATCATACGTGAAGGTGAACTCAGAGCTCGAAAGGACAAGCGCGACTTTGATCGTAAAGGTGTAGTCAAACATAACACTCTGGTGGAGGAAAAAGGTGGGGCTCGAGTTTTTGCTGAAGGTATAACTTGGGCTATCACTGAAAGTTGCAAAGTGAGTTTTTTGGGTTAACCAATCGTTACATCCTGGGTGAATTGAGCTGATCTGTTTTCGTACGTTTATGCTTTCGCCAGACTATTGATCATCGTTTACATTCCCGAGCTACTGAGATAATATCTACCTTGCACGCTTGTGTCAAACAACCATCGCGGCCAGCCGACCCACCACTACAGGATGAAACATCCCTTTCTGGCGGAGTAGCACAAGGTGCTTTGATTGCACTCTTACATCATACAAATGCGGAACATTTTGAAAGCGTCTTGGCTGACATCCTGTCCAGGACAAGAGATCATCTCAAATCTTTGGAAACTAATGCCGATACCCCTATCATAAAGAACGGCCACCCGGCGCCTGCGTTGCAAGTTTGTCTACAAAGCTTGTCAGTGATTGCGGGAGTTCGACAAGGATCCAAGATAGCTGGTTAGCTTTTTGAACCAATTCACTTTCTTTCCGACTGGCAAGACACTGATAACTCCATCTTCACAATTTATGTAGAATCCAAAAGGATCGATATGTTCGAAACTTTGGATCATCTGACCAATTTGATGGCAAATATTCAGACTGGGTTTTCTCCTCAACTATATCCTTCGGTCACATCGTATATCATCAATCTACTAACATCTATCAAAAACACTGGCGAATTCCTCGCGAGCCCGAAGATTCGTAAGGTGATTGAAAGAATTCTTCACCCGAACCCAATGATACTACCACTTGACTGTATATACTCGGTCTGCTCAGCGTTGCATCGAGTGCAATGGCCGTTCATGGACGACTTTCTTCTTCCGAACTTATGGCCGCTGCTGATTGCTCGCCTGACTCCGAGCCAAGCCAATGAAAAAGTGGACTCCACCTCGACGGCTAGCTTATTGGGCAACATCGCTGGCATCTTCAAGCACAGTCTACCTCATCCTATGCTTGAATTAGTCGTCCAGAAAGTGTGCTGGGCGATCAAATCTGTCATCGAGCGTTCTCTCCACTTCATCACTTCTACCGATTCGACGACAATGGTCAGCGATCAACTTTCTGATACAACAGTACACGAAGCGTCAGATTGGCTCTTTGTCTTTGCCAACATCGCACCCGACCCTAAATTACGGCAGTATCTGCAGACACGCGCACCACTTCGGGAATGGCTTGGATTATTCGAAGCCTTCATTTCCAAGGCGGGCAGCACCGAGGATGTACAATCGCTCCGTGCTCGATACCTACAAGAGTATTCACACGGAACTCATCTTCATCATACCATCGCGATTTCTCAACTGATCGCTACAATCCGAGCTCTCCTCCGGTTCGAAGGTCTAATGTCCAAGTGCGATGTGTTACTTGCCAACATACCTCGAATGTTAGAACTCTGGGGATGGCACAGAGATGTGCTTCACCAGATATGTGGACTATGTTCTGATATCAAGTCTTCCGATTATCACCAGCTGTTACCATCCTTCGAATCAGTTTATCCCCATCTGCAGCCTGCCCTTATATCGGAGAGCGCAAGCATTCGATCGGAAGCTCTCGAGATCTTGATTCTGCTCAATCGAGATCCTGTTCGGCAAAATATTCTCAATCAATGTACCATAATTGAAAAGACGCCTCTACTAGTAGAGAAGTCTAGGGACCGTCAGATGCACATTAGGAAGCTTGGTATCATGGTCAAATCTGATGCGAGGCTAGAAGAAGATTCCGAATCGGTTGATATCGCTCAAAGATATATCATGTGTCAGTTTTCTTCTCTACCTTGAGTGTGTTGAATGATTGTAACTGACGAAATTTTCATTTCTCCACTAGCCCAATTGAAAGTTCATTTCAAGCCGCTTTGGGAGGAAAGCATTAAATCTCTCACTACACTGAACGAACGTTTTCCCGCTAGCTTTTGGTCGTTGGTATGGAGCCAACTTGAGTTGGTGTTGAATGAATCGCCTGCGATATGTTTGACTCCTTATACGAATTTTGAGGCTCCCCTCGAGGTTCAAGGGCCTGGGGTGATATGCAAATTCTCAAATGAATCGCAGTTTCTGTGTACAAATTTGAATATACTTGAACAGAATCGCATTCAAGATCTTAAAAGCGAACGCATCCAAGCAATGTTAGATGTATGTTGGTTCCTAACACTCTAGTATCTCGTGATCTCCCAATTTCTAATGATCACCCTCTTTGTAGGCCCAGAAATTGGAATCTCGCTTAGATCGACGGAATTATGAGGTCCAGTTACTTGAACTTTTGTGTCACAATCCGGAAATTGCTCAAAAACACAACAAATTGGTCATCGGCGCTTATTTCAAATTTTGTCAGCCTGATGAGGATGATATCGAGCAAGGTCATATGCTTGGAAAGTCTGCCAGGACACGTTTGGTCAATTGGTTACCTCTTATATCCAAATTCAACGCACCAAAGTGCTTGTATCGATCCGATGAGCTTCGAACTTCGCTCTACGACATTTTGGCGGATCCTGATTCTACACTTCGAACTTTGGCATTGGAGTGTATCTTGATTTGGAAAGATGGTGGTATTCTTCGACATCAGGAGCATCTAAAGGATTTGATGGATTCATCCAAGTTTCGGGATACTCTGTTGAAGCTCTCTTTCACTTCGAATGGCGATCAAGTCTCAGATGGCGATCGGGCCGAAGTCATCCCGGTAGCGATCCGGATCTTATATGGATGTATGTTGATGAATGGAGGCCGGGGATCCACTGCCCAAAGTCAAGCTCCTCGAAGAGCAGCAATCCTCTCGACACTCAAGAGTTTCTCAGCCACTGAACTGGACCTTTTGGTCGACTTGATGCTGAATCCACTGAAGTCAAACTCCGACACGAAATCAATGGGTGGACCACTGAGCTCGAAAAAACAACTTGGGTTTCTCACCTTATTGGGTGACGTGATGAAGTCATTGGGGCGAGATCTTTGTTCAAGATGGCCTGAACTTTTGGACACGGTAATCAGACTCATTACCACCGCTCAATCAAAACTGGTGGCTGTCAGTGAACACCGCGTTGAAGCTGAAGGATCGCAAACCGGCCTATGCAAGAAGATACGTTCTCAGGCCATTCATCGCCTCACGAGCTTTTTCAAGCATGCCCCCCTCTCGTTCTCCTTTCAACCATGGATCCAACAAATCTTTGATGTTGTCATAAGTCCTCGACTACCAACCTTTGCCTCTGAATCGGCCCAAGCTCCATCTGCTCTTCTTGGCCTGTTCCATACATGGTCAAGTCATCGGGAGCAGGCTCTCTTGTTGGTGGATCACAATCCGGATGTTTTGAAATCAGTTTACGAGCTTTTAGCAATTCCCAACGTAAAACAAGATGTGATCAATAGAGTATTTGACATTCTCGAGAACCTAATCCGATATGTCAACACAGGACCTGAATACTCTCCGCAGCGTCTCTTGACCTCATACTTTGCTGGTCTTCTCCCAAGTTTGGCTGGCCTTCTGCGTGGGTCATCGACAGGAGTGCCCTCGTACGCGACTAGTACAGGGTCACGGCAAATCAATCTACTCTCAAGCTTGATGCCCTATATCACTGATACTGAACATGCCGAAAGCTTCTGCGAATTGCTTATACCATTACTTGCCAAACGCTCTTATCGGGTCCCAGAGGCCATTCAAACAAATTTATTGGTAATTCTCTCTGAGTTCCTTGGCAAGGCACCCCTGAATGCGACCCTGCCTAGTACTCTCAAGACGCTCTCGACTCTCTTGGAAACTATCACAACTCGTAAAGGAAGATGTGCGCTTGTAAAGGCATTTCAAGCTATTAGCATCCACCGAAGCGATTTGCGAGACAGCGATACGGTCCGGCTGATCGCCGAACTGAACAGTTTTTCGGTCAAACGTTTGGACGAGCCGGACTTTGAGAGGAGATTGAATGCGTTTGCAGAGCTGAACGAGTCAATCTACAAGCGATTTGGCCCGCTGGAATGGGAGATTCTGATTCATCATGCTTTATATCAAATCCGAGATGAGGAAGAACTCAGTTTGAGAAATAGTTCGGCCCTTTTACTCGGAAGGTTTTTTGAAGTCATTGATGGTAGTACCCCAGATTCAATCTTACGACCTGTCTTGACAAAAGTAATGCTCACAGGATTGAAGAAAGCCTTACGTTCGAAAGCAGAAGTTATCAGGCAAGATGTGTTAAATGTACTTTCGACTGCTATCACGAAGAATTTACCTGATGTGACTGAATTGACGGAAATGAAATGTTTGCTTGTGGATGGTGATAAAGAGGCCAATTTCTTTTTAAATGTATATCATATCCAATCTCATCGAAGGACTAGAGCATTGAGAAGATTAGCCGAGGAGGTAGAGAAAGGCCGATTAGGTAGCAAAGTGATATTCGACATCTTTTGTCCATTATTAGTTCACACTTTGGCACCCAAGACTACAACGAGACCAGATCCTGAAGTTGTCAATGAATCGGTCCGAACGCTCGGGACGCTAGTGAAAGCCCTATCCTGGTCGGCTTACAACGCCATCTTACAGTTCTATATGAAATTACTTCATGGAGCTGAAACTGTCAACAAGACGATTGTTCGAGTCGTCGTATCAATCTTGCGAGGTTTTTATTTCAATCTTGCGGTACCTACAACTGAAGATGGTTCCAAACTGACATCAGCTCCTACATATGTGACTGAAATGGTATCGGACCGATTGATACCCAAATTGATTCGTTTCATGGAACAGCAGAAGGAAGGTGGACCCGATGAAAGTTTAAGAATCATGATGTCTGAGGGTGTAGCCATGATAGCTACATTTCTGCCTTCACCCGCAAAGGAACTTGCCATTGCTGGTGTGGTATCTAGTCTTGCTCAGATTCTCAAATCAACTCATCAAGAAACACGTCAATCAGCGCGAACTGCAATGGCAAATATTGCCTTTTTATTACCCAAGGAATCTCTTGTAGTGACGGTCAAAGAGTTAAGATCGGCACTGGTACGTGGACCACAAGTTCATGTTTTGGCACACGTCATTTATGCCATCTTGGCCAAGACCGGCGAATGGGAGGACAGCGATGTTCCAGGAGAGGTGGTCGCACCGATAATGAAGATTTTGGCTGAAGACTTGTTTGGTGACCCAGCAAAAGAGAGGCAATCGAAAGAATTGAAAGCAAAGACTAAGTTTTCTGAGACTCGATCTTCACGTTCATTGGAAAGTCTACAGATGCTTGTCAGTCGATTATCGAGCTCAGAGCAGTTGACTGAAATCTTACGTCCATTTCGGAATATACTCGAGTCGACACGTTCCCCTCGATTGTTGACTCAGTTGGAAGAGTCTTTCAGACGACTTACTGCCGGAGTGGTGGTCAACAGCCGTCGATTTGATGCTCCAACGGTCTTGAAGCTAGTTCACACATTCATCGCACGTAACTCCGACTTACTAAAAAATCGATCCAATCAGAACACTCGGAAAGTCATCAAACCCACAGATTATAAGTTAGTTTTGTCTGGCAAGATAAAATCTAAAGTTGATCATTATGAAGAGAATGCTCATCACTTTGTCAGTTTAGGCTTGGACCTATTTCAAGCACTGTATCGAAAAGGAACCTATAACTTACATGAGCCTTCAAACTTGGAATTGATTGATCCACTGGTGGTCGTTGTTGGGAACACACTTTATTCTCATAATAGTGAAGTATTAGGTCGTGGATTGAGGGTGATGAGTATCTTGATTAAGCTCCCACTCGAGTCGGTTGAAAAGTCGGCAACTATCATCGTTCGACAAATGTTGGCAGTAGTATCTCATATTGGTACATCTGAATCTGAACTTTCACAAGTTGCACTCAAGACACTAGGAACTGTGATTAGAGATTGCAAAGTAGTTGAACTCACTGAGAAGCAACTTACCGCTCTGTTGAACATGATTGCACCTGATCTCGAAGATTCTACTCGTCAATTAACTCTCTTCGCTCTCTTGAGAGGAATCATGTCCAAAAAGTTTCTCGCTCCTGAATTATATGACCTCATGGATCGAATTGTACATGTACTCGTCACCGCACAAGCTGCACAAGTGAGAGAAGTGTGTAGATCAATTTATCTTCAGTTCTTGCTTGACTATCCACAAGGTAAAGGTCGATTATCAAAATCTTTGGAATTCCTCATCAAAAATTTATCTTACGAACACGAGAGTGGAAGAGAATCAGTATTAGATCTTTTGAATGCGATCACAAACAAGATTGGAACCGAGTTGGTAATTAAACACGCGGACATCTTATTCATGGGTCTTGTGATGTCAGTCACAAACGAGAGTTCGACTAAATGCAAGCAGATGTCACTTGAGGTTGTGAAAGTCTTGCTTCGTAGGATGGACCCGAGGAAAGCTACAGAGTTCCTTGAAATGTTGTTCGCCTGGTATCAAGCTAAGAAGAGTCAAGTTGGTCTCAAACGAACGGCTTTACAAATCTTGGCCATTTATGCAGAAGTCAAAGCGGTGGGAGATTCTCAGACAATCCGAAGGATTCATGATTTACTACTCTCTAATGCCAAATTGATTGCTGAAGAACTCCTGATGGTCGAAGAGGACGAAGAGACAGAATCATCATTAGATTGGCAGCTCGCTTATCAAACTCTTCAAGGTCTATCAAAGGTTTATAAAGTAGATTCAGATCAAATCACAGCGGCGCTCGAGGCAGATGGCTGGAGTATGATTCAAAACTTCTTACTTTACCCTCATATGTGGGTACGAAGTTCAGCTGCTAGGCTCTTGGGGATGCTGTTCTCAAATCCAGATGTGTTGAAAGCACGACCATTGAAGACCGAACAACTTGTGAAAGTGGCTAGACAATCAAGTTTACAACTCAGGAGTGATCACTTGGACGAAGCTTTGGCTTTACAAATCGTCAAGAACTTGTTCTTCGTCTTGAAGGCTCTAAGAGAACGAGTGGGCGATGATCAAGATCTGCAGAAAATCGCCGAGATTGACGGTGTTCGTCAGACGGGTGGAGATGCAGAAAACATGAGTGGTTCTGAGGACGAAGAACAACAGCAAACGAAGAAGACAATTTGTCATGGTGTCGAATTAATGAAAATGGTTCGCAAGCTTAGTCTCCAAGCTAACTTGGCACATGCTAAGAGGCCGAGCTTATTTGCAGCCCAGGATGGGGTGAGTATTCCTATTTGATACATGAACTGTAATTTATCCAATACTTCGGCTAATGAGTATTTATTTGTTTTTTCAAAGCGACAATGGTCACTCGAACCAATATCTGTGCTAAGATGCTTTGCTGCACTCATCAATTTTCTTTCTCCGCAAGACCTCGAGGCTATCCTAAATCCTTTAATGATTCCTATCTATCGAATCTTGGAAGATGCCAATATTCAAGATCCTCAGATGGGTAAGCTCTTCTTTTTGAATTGCAATCCATTGCAACATTTTGACTGGACAACTTTTACTATTCTTTTGATATGATGATAGTCGAATTGCAAAACTTGGCTCGAGAAGTACAAGAATTCTTACGTGATAAGGTGGGCACCACGAAGTTCTCATCGGTTTATCAAAGCTTGAGGACAAGAGCGGTAGAGAAGAGACATCAAAGGAAGACAGTAGATGCATTAAAGGTATGTTTTGAATGGTAATATATATAGAAATGAAAAACTGGTACTGATCATATGAATCCTCTTTTTCAGGCTATTAATCATCCAGAGGCATCAGCTAAACGAAAAGCTTCCAGAGGTGATGCTAAAAGTAGGATCAAAAAGAGAAAACAGGAAGTATTTGCACGTAATAAATTGTCATATGGGAAATAAGTTGATTTTGTTTGTGTTTTTGACTGAGGTTTATGAGTTTTGTTGAGTTATCTTGTTTGTATTTCTTTTATTTTTTTGTTTCATAAAATTGTCCGATTCGGATGAATCTTTATAATTCTATTATCTGGGAATTAGTCACTGATCTTAAAACTTTATTGATGGACATATCGTTCGAAAGTATTTACTAGCTGATGTGATCGAGAAGACTTAATTTCCATTGTTTTTCAAAAGTTATATCATTTTCACATGAACAGCAGCACACCTGTCAGAAATGATTCTTATTCTGATATGATTATCAGAATTGCACAAAGACATGAGATTGAGAGAGATCGGATGAATTTTTCACTACAAAACCTCTCAATACAAAGCTGAATCCATCATATCAATTATGATCACACAGCACAAAAAACGCCCTCAAATGCGAGTCAAGAAGTGCCTTCTATATACAATTTGAATTTAAAATGAAAAGTGACTAAAACTCGGATCTTCCCTCAAGCCCATGGTAGATTGGAAGATTTCTACAATTTTAGTTCAATGAGATCCGCCGTTGGATATGATTCCAGCTATTTCTTGAATCTGAGCATAAGTCGATACACAAAGTGACTGTTAAAGAAAGTGTAAACGATCAAATTCACTTTGAAAACATACTTCTGCCAACCCTGAGCATATCTGCTCAACACTTGGTTTTCGGTCCCAATGTGGGAATTGGAATCGAATTGACCATGACGATAAAATATATGTAGTCCAAAACTTGATCGTGAGATCCGATCCAAATGCTACGACCTTATACACGGGCCAGTCAATTAATTATTCCATGGAGTCTTTGTGACAAGCAGACGCAATTTACTCCCATGGCCCATTGAGCTTCAAGTCTAGTTCCTGGTGATCAAACTCGGTTAAATGAAATCATGTAGATTATAAACATTCAATGAATACATACCATTAATTCCTCAGGTTTTGTCGCAGGCAAGACATGGCATTGAATCCCGTGTGAGTCAAGATTTTTGATCAGCTCGGGAGCTACACTGGTCTCAGCGTTGATCCTCTCACTCAAGATAAATATAATATGTCGCAGCTTAGGTGTTGTATGAAATGGATTTTGACCAGTGTTTGAAGTGGTAATTCAGATAATACTGCCCGCCCTCAATGTGCAAAACGAGCGTTCGGATGGTATGAACCATCGGCCAAGTCAGGAAAAGGTTATCTTGATATTTTGAGTCGCAGTACTGAGTGCGGAAAACACGAAGTTTTGGAAACTTTATGTTGATAGCACACTTTGGGATGTCATTCGTAATCATAAATGTAAAAAGTCCTTCAAGTGTGTTCTTGATAGGGCCAAAGATTTGTTCGACTTTCTCAAGATCTGCATCAATACTCGCGCATTCGATAATTTTCAAACTTTCTTTTGCTGTCGTACAGATCTGAGCGATAGTATCGGTAGCATCATCATGGTGCGTGAAGTTGAAGTAGCGTAAGTTTGACAGGGCTGGTGATTTCAATTCAAATGCGTCTAGGTCTATCCATTGAATCGTCAAAGATTCGAGTTTGGGGATAGCAAAGAGAAGATCGGCTAATGAGTTTGAATCGAAAAGCCCCCCTGTCACTTGGAATGGCTTGTTCCCGTCTAAGATGTTCAACTTTTTTAAATGTTTCATTTGCTTTATAGCCTCGAGTAAACTTGCAGAAATACCAAAAGAATCTGTAAACATTAATCTCAACTCGTGTAAGTTTCCACCAATGAGCTTGATCAGATTCGCTACTTCGTCCATAAATATTGGACATCGTTTTTTTAGACCTACAGATCAAATACAGATGAGAAAAGTTCCTAGCCGGTCTATAGTGGATGGACAGAGTATAGAACGCACCTTTTTTCAGAGTCTTTTGCATCGCTAGGTTGCAAGTAAGCCAGACCTTCAATTATAAGACGTTTAACGGGGCATTGAGCACGAGGAGCGTAGATTGAACTTGACCAGTGTTTCAGCATAGATTGCACCGATCTTGATGTAGAAAGCCGAATAGTATGGAAAGCGAATGGAACTGTAGCTTGTGACCATGTTTTGGAAACTAAACGAAGTCTGAGGAGTTCTTTGGTTGATGAATAGAAAAGAGTTCGGTCCGACGCGGTGTCCTGGTCATCATGAGGAAGGCTCCCTAATTGGGAGACATATGTCTCAACAATTCGACATGTAATCTCGAACGGTAGCGAATACTGGGCTGGTGTGGTGAGTGGTCGTTCGGGTGTAGTCATTGTTTTCTGGGGTTATGTAGTGCCGGATGCCATTGCTCAGCACATGGCGGAGTGTGGCATTGGCAACAGTCAAATGTCAATCTAAAGTCGATGTGCGGGCGATTTTCTAAATCGGCAGACCGCGGTAGGGCAGGAGACAAAAAGTGCGCCGCATAAAACAGAGGATTAACTGAACTGTAACACAACAGTCCAGTCCTCCAGTCCTCCAATCGCAATGGAAGACTGAATCCTTGTTCACATAGATCCATATGGAGGCTCAATATGGGTCTATAGTTGTCACGAAGAGAAAAACTCTTGGCAAACACATCCAAGCGTAAATTGAATCCTGGATTTCTTCATGGTAAGAGGCAGGTTCAGGTGTTAGAGGTTACAAGGGTAATGTTTTGGTCTCATGAGATTCTTGGTAAAGGTTTTTCAACATTTTATGAAAGAGTTATGTACAAAAATGGAGAAGAATGAGCCTTTTTGCACATGTTGGCGCGCCTTTCAAGAATCTTTTGAAGGAGCTCAGAGTGAAGCCCTCCTCTCACTTTACACCTTTTTTCTATCAGCAATCCTTGTATAAATGCCTAAAATTAAATTATGCTCTGTCACATCTCAATTTAGGCCAGTCAAAGAAATATGACATGCATCATTGAGGTGTGAGGGGATGGTGCTTTGAAATTGGCTGGCGGAGTAAATATATGGGGTGGAACTTGAAGGAAAGCTTTAAGATGAGCTTCTTAGATGTACATCATCATGGATGTTTGAAAACAGAAGGCTCAAGTATCTACATCTTTATCTATCTACTCTCCAAAAATCATCATGAAGAAATCAAAATATGACAAGACCAAACAATCACCCTCCTTTTCTTTTAAGTTTCTGCTGTGAAAACCTGTCTCATAGCACCCCTTCTTCATGTCTTGATACCACATGTTAAGCATGCATAAGTTTAACCATACTTCAGTGAGAACCTTCAACAAAGCTATGGGTGTCAAATTATTGGACCTCCACAGCTGAATTTAGAAGCAAACTTAGTCTTCCACACACAGGCAGTCCAGGCACCAAATGATGACACCTGAAGCATAAGGCCTCCAAGTATCATGTCAGGTATTTTATTTTCCATAGGTTTCAGATACCTGGAGGAAGTTTTCATCAATTCTTGATCCCATGGTACTAAGAATTTATGGGATATGAGCATACAAGAGAGTTTGATATCTAGTAACAAGTTTTAATCCCAAGCCCATGGTTGATGTTATAATATATCAAAGGATTTCCAGATCAATTTCATGTGAATCTTACTGCGAAGAAAATTGTGATTTTTCCTGTGCTGAATTTTACTCAACCAAGATGGTATGTAGATGTTCTGAGAAAATTAAAGTTTGCCCAGATAAAGATACAACTGTGATATTTCAAACCCCCAATTGTATTTGCAATAAGGAAAATAGGTTTTCAATCTGATATTAAGCTCAATATCAATCAAAAGTCACAAGGAGGGAATATGAGCCTGCTTGAGTGCCTTGTACACAGGCATTCTGGTGCTTGAGGCATCTCCTAATCAGGAAGCACTGGAAGGTGATCCCAAACATTGTATGTAGACATCAAGAAGAGGATATATGAAATACTTTCATGCAATGAGTTGTTTCAGCAAATATATCTATTCCAAAACTCCAAACTTCACTCCTTAGTATTCCTCAAAAGTGCATCATGTGACTCACATCCCCACTGGTCAGATCTAGAAGCCTGATACCAATTCTCATTGTGATTTGATGATCAGGGTTGGGATCAACCATAATATACTTTGGAAGAGATCATCTTGGGAATTTATCAGAGATGAATCCACCAGAGGATAATGACATAACACAAAAAATACTCTCGATTCTGGAGTAAAGAGAGCCTGCCTTCGATATACAGCTGAGCCCAGTGATTCCTAAACTGTAAAGCCCAAGACTTGCGTCAAGCCAAAGAAAGTTAACTTGGAACCATAATTAAACCATTTGATTTTATGATGGGCATAAGACTCCATTGTGAACATTAGCTTTAGAACGTCTCTAAAGACTTGATGTTGAAATTATCCAGGAATGTTCAGATGAACAATTGAAAAGCAACATCATTGAGAAAGTGAATGACTTCTTGGCAATTTCTTATGTGTATAGATGTTTCTTTTGTTCGTAATTCAACCAACAAAACGTAGTCAAGGGGTGATTTTCACAATCTTTTTTATAAGCAACTATGATGTGATGATATACTATACCTGAGTCCTGATATTTATAATCACATCCATTCATGATACTTTGGTTTCTCCTAAATCTGACATTCAGTTCAATGTAACACAAATCTCAGGTAAAGCCTCAAACTGGGTATGAAGACCTACTCACACAAAAACCCCTAGCTCACTATATTCAATCAAGACTTTAATTTTGGTCACAGTTTTAAGATCACCATAAGATATAATACAAAGCTCAAGATTCAATCCAACTGGTCTGGCCTTGTTCAGAGGCCAGTGAATTACTTGATGGGGATGTAGATGTGAAGTATCTTTGGGGTCTTGATGATAAACATGAGAAATTTACTCCCATGGCCCGTTTAGCTTCAAGTCTAATTCCTGGTGATCAAACTTGGTTAAATCAAATCATCTAGATTATGAAGATTCAATGAATACATACCAATAATTCATTAGGTTTTGTTTCGGGCCTGACATGGCAGTGAATCTCGTGAGCGTGCAGAGTTTTAACCAGTTCAGGAGCTACACTCGTCTCGTGCTCCGATTCATCCCTCAAAATAAATATAATATGTTTTAGGTTAGGTGTTGCATCAAATGAATCTTCACCTACGTATTTGAGGTGAGAATCTAAAGAAGATGGTCCTTGATAGATATCCAAGACGAGGGTTCGGATGGAATGAAAGATTGGCCAATTCAAAAAAAACTTCATCAGCTGAATACCGACTTCAAAAAAGCCGAAGTTTCGGTAGTCTCATATCCATAGCAGATTCTGAGATATCATCGGTAACAAACAATGTGAAAAGACCTTCTAATGTGTTCATGATAGGGCTAAAGATAAGTTCGGCATAGTCATCAAACGAACTAGAAGTAAATTCAATAATCTTTAAAGTTCTTTTTGATATCCGGCAGATATGAGCAATTGGATCTTGATTATAAGTCTTACAGTGAAAGTTGAAATATCGTAATTTTGAAAGCGCTGGTGGTCTTAATTCCAATGTCTTTAGACCAATCCCTTTAATATTCAAATATTCGAGATTGGGAATAGTGGGGTTCAAGTCAAAAATTCCTGAGCGGAATTTTATGACTACCGAGCGATTTTTTTAGGACTACCTTTACCTATAAGCTCACTCAGACGTCGTAAAGAGTGTTTAAAAGTAAGCCACTGGGGCTTATAAGGAAAAAAAAAAACAAGCTTTGAAACAGAGGTACGAATGCTTAAAAAGCTTCGAAAAAAACTCAAGAGCGTTGATGTTGAAAAATCAATCAAAAAAGAGGCTCTTTGTGAAAAAGCGCTAGAAAAAAGCGAGTTTTGTTCCTCCATTATCTACATAGTAAGAACACTTTCCTCGTGTGAAAATTGTGTACAATATGCGCCTTATCCTGGCGCATATTTCTACTCTTTGGACCATGCCCGAATCCTCGGTGTGGAAAAAGATAAACGGCATTGAAGGGCGCTCCCTGCAAAACTCTCCACCGCGAGGTTATGGAGCGTGCAAGTTTGGCGTAAGTCCCTCGCTCGACGCCTCGCGAGGATGCGCGAGCGTGGGACTTTGTTAAGTTTACCGCATGCCCTCATCGACTGATGAATGGATCCGGGCTGACCCAGACATTCCCGCACGACCCCATCGTCCTCGCAGCCAGCAGCCAGACGGGGGCGAGAACTCAAGGTCATCTCCAAGACCGGTGGCTTATCAATGATATCTGTTAGCCTTTAGGTTTTATTCTTTACCAAGTGGCGTGCATATAATCTCCATATTAGTAAGTTGGTTAAATAGTTAAGCTTACCATTAAGGAGTCTAGAGCAACAATAATGGTATCAGTTAAATAAGTGTATCAGTTAATCACCGTAAGGCCCAGGATCATTATAAGAAGGTACTGCTGTCCCGTAGTTTGATCAGATGACGATATATGGTAAATGGGAGTGGAGGTGGTAGTCCATGGATTTATGAATGATATAATGAAAGTCTCGTTTCAAGGTATAGATAGCTATCAATTTATGAAAAGACCTCGAAAGTCAAAAGGCATACTTAAGCTGACCTCTGCCCGAACTGGACGGCATGAATCTGAACCAGCGATTGACTTCGTCTTGCCAAAGAATCAAAAACAAAAAATCGAGTTTGATGAATTCCATTTGATTGATTGTTTAAATGTGTATGTATGCATAATGGATTTCTTTCTTTCTTTCTTGGTTAAAAGAAAATCGATTTACAAAACACTCTTTTTCATTTTACATAACTCAGAGAGAAAAAAAAACACTCAATCAAAAAAAAATGGCTAAGATGACCCATATTGCATGTCATATAAATAAATATAAACCTCTTTGGTTTTCTTTCTTCAAACCAAAAAGAAAACTAAAAAAAGAAGACCTAAAGCCTTAAAACCAACTTAACTTGTCTGTTTGTTTATATGATTAAAATATCCGTAGTAAAAATGTTTTGCGTTTGTTTTTTGTTTCTTAACCGATCTGTGGTAATGATTTCTCATTGGCAATCCGTTTGATCCTTTCATTTAACCTTCTAGCAAAACTTTCCAATAAAGGTTCTAACCTTTGTCCTTCAATCGTATCATCCACTTCCAAAAACTTTACCAACGTCTTCACCGATCTTAAGGCTTCTTCGATTTCAGGTGTGGCTTGGTTTGATAAAGTTTGTGGTGCGATTGGGGTTTGGATCGGAATTGAGGTGGGATGTTGAATCGGGGTTGGGGTTGGGGTTGGTAAAGTTTGAATCGGTTGAGGTTGAGGTTGAGATGGTTGAGGTTGAGATGGTTGAGGTTGAGATGATTGAGATCTAGTATGATGAAAGATTTCTTCAGGTGTCCAAAGTCTTGTATCTGGAACCGATTCACCTATAGGTTCTAAGATTTCATTTGTTTGCATTCGGTTTTCAGGAGTCAAGACTCCAATGTCTTGTAAAACTTGTAAATCTGAATTCAGTTCAGGTTCATCTAATTGATGATCATCTTCAGGTCTAAAAATCCCATCAAATCATTTCATAAGTCATCTGAACTTAGTTTTTCGGATGGTTCTTTTGGAGTAAGAAAAGATAACGTACACATGTTCCATAGGTTCAAGTTTGATCAAACCAGTGTTGGTCCAAGCCGTTTGGATGATTTGAATCGGAACGGCATTCCAAGCTGCTCTACAAAGTCTCATAGCAGTGACCGGATCGATCGAATAAATCTCCGAAGCCGGTACTTCATCAAACCTTCTAATAGCTCTAGATGTAAACCTTCTTCTATAATTCGATTTGAATGATTGAATGATACCTACGGTCAAAGGTTGAACATTACTACTAAAGAATTCCACTCGAATCGAATCTAATTTCATCGAAGGTAAAACATGTCCCACAAAATTATCAATCAATAATAAGATTGAACGTTTCTCTTGCGATAGTTTTTGATTCCAACTTAAGATCCATTGTTGAAAGATAGTGGAAGTCATAATCGTTTTACTATTCTGTCGATATTCAAATCCGGTTTGTTGATCAAAACTTGGATTCGAAAGTGTAGGTTGTTCTGTTTTGCCTATAAACAATGGTGGTAATCTATCTGATCCATCTGAATTACATGCCAAGGCTATCGTAAGTTTCGTTTTGACTTGCTTGGTATCTTCAACCATTCCTTGATCTGATCCTTTCACCGGTTTTCCTTCTTCGACTTGTTGTTCTGCGAGTTCTTTATCAGGTGGCATTCTAAACCGTCATAACACATCAATAAACCATAAGAAAACCCATAAATGGTGGAAAGATAGCAGAAAACTTACGCGTAAAATAAACCAGTTTCATCCATATTATAAACATCTTCTGGAGGATACTGAGAAATGATAGCCGTCAGTCTTGCCAAATCAGATTCAGGTTGAGGTTTAGAAGTGATAGGTATATCAGGTATCGGTTTAAAATGTCTTAATCCGTTACGTTGTCTAAAAGCATCTAACCAACCATGACTAAGGGTAAGCCATTCAGCTGGAGGAATACCACAGAGTTGAGCAAAATGTTTCCATTTTTCACAAATCACATCACCTGTGATATTAATCTTGGCTAAGATAGCTTGTTGTACCCATTCTTCTAACATCGTCGTCACTTCTGGATGTGTTGTACCTCTAACTCGCTTAGCTGTTGTCGATCCAGGTGGTGCTAAGGCTCTAATATGTAATTCATCTTTTACCCATGCTGATACTAATGGTTGTTTGATTCTTAATTCAGGATAAATCTTATCAAAATGTTTAGCTGTACCTGTTTGTGATTCTCCATTGGCATGATACCAATTTAAGACTTCAATCTTTTGTGAAAACGTTGCTGTCGTTCTTCTAAGTTTTTTATCTGATTTAGGTGTTTGAAGATGATGATCATTTCGATCTTGAGATATCGTGTTGGTTCTAGATCGTTTGTTCGGATTTGATTTATTAGAAGTAGATGGAACTTCTACTGGAATGTTTTCTTCAATGGGTGTGATGATTTGATGATGAGTTTGAATGTCTTGTTGAGCAGCATTTAAGATTCTAAAGAACGCTTCGAATTCTTGTTCTGACATGATCGTAGGAGTATTTTCAGGTAATTGAGATAATTGATCAAAGGTGATTTGTTCATTTGTGATATCAGCTTGTTGTTGATCTAAAGAGATTGAATTGATAGCGATCGAAGTAGGATCTTTTTCGATCGAAGGATCCAATGGGATTCTTGTACTACTAGAAGATGATGATAATAAGAGATGATTGAATTGAAGTTGTTTGAGTTGATGAAGACCATTTTGAAGTAAATGTAGATTGAATTTGTTGGGTAATAGTTCAGGAGAGAGTTGACCAGGTGGGATGGGAGATTGAACAAGATAAATGGTTTCGTGAATTCTAGAAATGTAAGTTGGATTGTTCAAATCAAATGAAGTTGATTTACATTCGATTCCTTCCATGGTTTATGACCGGTTTCTTCAAAATCAATAATCATTAATCAACTTTTCTCGTCAAATCGGATCTTCATGAATTTCAATTCTCATGAAATATGGGTTTATGTAGAAAGTTCAGTACCCGGACCGAGTCACCGATTCCCAAAGCTGTCCGGGACCGGTCATCAGCGCATGATCAGGTAAACAGAGGATTTTTTAATTTTTGACTGACTTTTGAAGATTTCTGAACAGAGACCGAATCGATTTGACACTTTGATTGGACTGGACATTGGGTCTGAAGAGGTCTGAAGCTGTTTTCAATCAGAGCGTGATATGTATGTGGTCATCTGACGTCACAAGGCTATTCCTTATGAGCTGAGTGGTATGTATGCGTTAAGCTAAGACTTGTGAGTCTCGTGAAGACTTCCTTCGAGAAAAGAAGCAATGTATGGGTCAAATTCCACCGGATCGATCATTCAGGTATGTAGGGAAAATGAAAAATTACCCTGGTAAAACTTTAAAACAGCAGCAAGACTCATTAGAAATTTCAAAGAAACATGATCAAAAATCAACATGCACTTTGATCTGACCATCAAGTGGAGCAAAAAGAGTGATATGCATTTCCTCCAGACGAAAGGAAGGGGTATGAGGCAAGAGACAGAAAGACAATCGTATCACGGAGCTCAAGTCACAGTGCATCTCTTGCCTCCACCATGAGTCAGACCAAAGAAATGTCTGAAGAAAGGGCACAATTCCTATGCTCATTCGCCAACTCGTTACCGTGCCTATAGTGTGGGTCCAATTGAAATTCAAATAGACCCGCTCTCTGAGCAGAAGAAGACCTCTTCCGTGATTTTCAATCTCTATCAACATGCAATCAGATTGCGAGTCCCTTTCATCTCAGGTACTCGGTAGTCTCGGTACTGGAAGAAGTAGGTGACTTATAGTCTTGGTGGAAATTCGGAGTACGGAATATTTTCAACGACCGCCCAGGCAGTTCCCTGTCAACTCTAGACCCGTATATACCTCTAGAATCACTTCGGTGTAGGCTAGCTTTCTATCAAGACTTTGAAATAATAAATGATGAGGAATTTTGACTATAAGATAAGTGATTTGATTACGTATTAGATTTTGTCATTCATCATTCATTAACTTCATCATTTGTATTACATACCATCTCTTGTTCTTCATATCAATCTTTACTAATTCAAACCTCACTTTACTCTATCAAAGATGAATTCATTTTCTTGTGTTTTAATTGTTTTGAGTACTTTAATGATCTCTTACATTCAAGCTATACCATCTACCCAACACCTTTCAATTAATCAACTCAAACGAGCTATCATTAATGCATCCTCAGTCACCTCAAATCTAACAGATCTCATCAAACCATCAGAGAATACTGCATCTACAAACTCTACTGGTCCTCCTACCTTACCGGTTACTAATTCTACTGATAACACAACAGCCAACGTGACTTATTCTCCTCTTTCACCTGCTCTTAATACTACTAGCACTCTCAATCTCAATGGTACTGTTACTAATCCTTCTCTCAACAATACCGTTGGTACTCCTTCTGTCTCTGCAGCTATTAATGCTACAAGTACCCCGTCTATCAATGCTACAAGTAACCCTTCTGCCAATGCTACCGGTATCACTTCTATGAACGTTAGTATGCCTTCTATGAACGTTACCAGTATTCCTTTTATGAACGCTACCAGTACGCCTTCTATAAATGGTAGCAATAACCCTTCTATGAACACTACAAGTACCCCTTCTACTAATGATACCAGTACCCCTTCTATCAACACTACCAGTACGCCTTCAAGCAATGTAACAAGTATTCCTTCAAGCAATTTAACAAGTATTCCTTTAACCAATACCACAAGCATTCTTTTACCCAATACCACAAGTATTCCTTCAACCAATACCACAAATATTCCTTCAACCAATACCACAAGTAAACCTTCAGTGACTTATATCCCAAACCATTCATCTGATTCACATCATTCTAAAAACCATCATTCAAATTCAATCAAAAAAGATTCTTCACATCATCAAATCTCGGAATCTGATGTAGATCAACAAAAGAAGGTTGTAGAGAAGTCTTGGAAGAAGTATCTTGATGATCAGGAGAAATTGGATCGGATGATGGTTTCACATCTGGAATTAGATGTGAGTCTATTTTTTCTGATTTTTTTTGAAAATTATTTGAAACTTTGTTTTGATTGATTTTGATTTTGGAATTTGGTTTTGATGCTGATTTTTGATTGATCTTGTTTTTTTTTTCTTAGGCTAAGGATTTTAAACCCATGAATATGAAACCAATGTAAAAGAAGAAAAAAGCCAAAAAGAAATTTTAGTTTTTTTTGATCTCTAATTTTGATTTTTTCAATTTCATTTTTTTTTTCATTCATTCCTAATTAAAGTGTAATACTTTTTTTATATTTTTTTCCCTCAAAACTTTCCATTCTTTTACATGAAGCAATCAATTCTCAAGTGATGTTATCCATTTAAACTTTCATTGGTCATTTCTTTACAAATCAATTCCAGACTCTTTCTTGTGTTGAACATTGTCCATTGAGTGATAAGATTCAATACATGAAGTTCAAAGCCCTTTAGGTGAAACCCAATCTAATAATGAAGATTTATATCTTTTAAGAATCTCATGATAACAAATAAAAATTGGTGAAAAAAATAGTGCGTGAATAATTATGTGGTTGGGTTCCCTCACATGATCAACTTTGCCATGATCTTGTAATTGAAAAGGTTCAAGCAACTAATGATCTTTAGATGTGCAGAGAAACATAATCAAAATAAACCAGCATCATAACCAGTCCTTTATTTTTCAAATGCTTATCTTTGTGTGTTGATTTTAACTCAAGTACAACTAGTTTTGTATCCCTACTGATTGGAGGACTTCAAAACCCAATGTCCCCATGCTGGATACATCCCAGGCTGTAAATGTGTTTCTGCCCAGTCTTTCTTGCCAAAAAAGTAAAGCAACTTCATAACCAATTGTTCAATTGTGACTGTGTGTCTTGATGATTTTGAATGTGCTTTTCCATAGCACATTTGTTTCCTTTTTGAGTGTCTCATGGAGATAGACAATGCTATACAAGGTGACTTCTCTTGAGTTCAGGAATCAAGTAGAAGTAGATACAGTCTCTTTGATACATTCATTCACCAAACAGAACCAATTGTGTGCTTCCACTTTCCACCTACTTAAAAGCAACAGACCCAAAAGTCAATTCAAAAGCAGCTATAACAATACATAAAACAATAATTTCAGTTCTATCAAGACATAAAACAATATAACCAAAAGAATGATTAACATAAGTAAATCTGGACAAAGATCAGAGTGAATTCAAACTAAACAACAACTGTTCCATGTGCCCAGATTTTTAGCTCAGTGTGAAATGGCTCAATGCATCCCAGAACCTGAGTGTTGGTTAAGCATCTCTGAGTTTAGCACCTGTCCATACACTTCTGGAAATGGTACCAAATCATGCCCAAGTCCAAGAATGATGTGATTGTTGTTGACAAATGCAAGTACTATTTGAATTTGTTTGTTAGGAGGTGTTTGATATGGGAAGAAGGTGTAGCAGTCGATTTTTGAGGGAGTCAAAAGGATCACTGGTTGGTCAAACACACTGTGTCAGCCATGAGAAGTTATCTCCAGTCCAACAACTTCCAAATGACTGAACAAAATGTAAAAACATATAATTAAAAATAATAATAATAAAATATCACAATTAAAATCATTATTACATCTCAACACTCGAGTTTCAAGAGTGAAACTACAAAACAATACATGGTAACAAATATTAAAATAGATTCAAACCCTGAATAGCTAAAAGCACCGATATCCTTCAGCTATAACCAACGACCAGGTAGTTACAAAAGAACCTGAACCAGGAACGTTTACAACAGTAACCAGGCTCAGGCAAGACTCAGACAGAAGTCCCTGAATATACCAATCTGAACCTAAAGCAAAAAATAATCAATATCATTCACTACCTCATTCACAAATAATCTTAGTTTAAAAAGGGAACCCTCTCGTCAAAACAGTAGGAAATTCCCATCCAAAAATTCCAACAAAATCAAATCTCTTAAAACAAACTTTCTTACTTGTAAAGCTAAAACTTTTACTTTTAACAAAACCAAAGCCGCATCACATTTAACCAAGTAGACTCTAGCTCAAACTCTCAGAATTCCTAGCTCTTAGTCTCTTCTTAGAATGTTTTATTTCTTTTGTTTCGTAAAAGAAAACTTGTAGCGTTAAGAGTGTGAAAGTCCTGTTGTAACAGTTTCTTTGTCTGAAGTTTCATCTGTTCGTTTCTCAGAAAGGATCAAGTTCACCATCACTCTGATTTCCTTAGCTTAGGTCTAAGAAATCCCTCTACCTATTGAGATCCTAGTTTACTAAGACTCAGTGGAAGGCCTTTATTTGATATAGATCAATAAATAGCATCTTTTGGAAAAACTCTACAAGGAGTTGTCTAAGTAAGTGAGCTAACAACTCTCTTAACCTCTTCCTAGGATTAATCAAGAAGATACTGATTGAATCCTGTTCCTAGTTCCGACAAGAACTAATTCGGCTAGAATTTATAGTAACCCATCTGTTACCACAAAGCCCGTGCGTACATTCAGAAACATCTTTTTTAACATTTCATCTTGACTACCTACTCATAAGGCGCATCTTTCTAGTCTCAAGCTGACACACTGGCTATGACAAATTTCAGTGTTGGAACCCCCAACCAGTAAGCCTGTGTGCAAGCTATCCCCTCATTATCAAGCCAACTAATGATTTCTTGTACAATTCTCCTGTATGAGATTGATAATTCTTTGGGTTACTTTGGGGTTGTTTGGGTACTGTGGAGATCAACTTGAAGTAATCTTCAGGATATTAAGTGAGTTCAGCAGGTATTTTTTTCTGGGTGACAAGGTCTTTGAAAACATATTCATCAACGCTGAAATTGTGTAAAATCCACAATTTCCAAAACCTGGTGGATTATGAATTGGTTTGATGTTGTGGAACTCAAAGCTCAACAAGAGATTAAAGAGCTTAAAGAGGGATAATCTACTAGTATTACTAACTAATAGAAGTTGCCTGAGACTGCCTCTTTGAAAGAACCAATACAGGGATTTGTTGACTTCTTTGAGATAAGGCACCAGAGAAAATGATTTATCAATACTTAATTCAAGTATTATTCCCGTGAATTTTTAGAATAAAGAAAAACTCAACACTGCTATAGTGTTATTCCAATCTGAGCACAACAAAAACACAATGTTAAGTACTGAACTAGGAACAATCAATTAGATTGTTATTCCAAGGAGGACTTGTAGTCTTATCACACGTAAAGAAATTTCTCCTTTGATATGAAGGGGTTATTTGGTGAACTCAGTACAGCTAAAGTAATTTAATAATGATTAAAGACACTTTAACAAAAGTATAAGATTAGAAAAAAGGGGAACAAAGCCCATAAAACCCTTACAAACTCTCAACAATGGTAAACACACTTCAAAAACCCTCAAAAACCCTCAAAAACCCTCAAAAACAACAAAATTCCTCCAATGTAACCTTAAGATGTCATTATTAATATTGCTTGTTGTGATTAAAGCTGTTAATTTGATCAATTGGTGTCAATAAACAATGAACAGATCTTCTTATGATGAATACAGGTGTTGTTTTCTCAATATTCATAGCTGAAAACCATTTTTGGAATTACATATTTTTTGTTAACTTGTCCAATTTTGGATTACTATAGCTCATTTTGTAGCCCTTGTGATACTGATCATTTATCACCCCAATATGACCTATTTTTTATGTGCGATGAATAAGATATGAAGTTGTAGAGATTGGGAAAATAAGCTTTTGTCATGTAAATGTTGCATTACATGTGTATGTAAGTGCCAAATTTGAAATTCACTCCATTTTCTTTGTTTCCTTATAAATATTGCACTAATCCTCTGTTAATAATGATTTAAACATTGTACATCATGGAAGGAAGTATTCTTCGTTGATGGAGTTCTCAGCCATCCAATTCTGACAAGTTTTGACATATGTAATTAACTGAAAACCTCCAATTTGAATGATTTTTGACCATTTTCATGTCTAATGATGATTTCTCGTTTATCAAAATATCATCACACATCACTCCAATAATAAGATTAACTATAAAATCAATCTGAAAAACTCTTGGCGCCATAAATCCTCCAATGACATCCCTACACAGGAATTAATACCATAGTACCCTTGTTTACCATCCTTGAAAATCCCTCTTTCTTGGATAATCTCACTCCCCCCTTATCAATGTCCATGATTAAAGTTTTTGCTCACTAATTTTATACTTCTCTTTCATAATTCAACCCCTTTTGAACCTTCAAAACAATTAATATTAACCTAAACACCATTTTCCAACTATTATACCTATAGTTTTGAATTTTTCTTCAACTTCTCCAATTTTATCCTTCTAATTTGATTCTTCTCATAACAGTTTATATTCTTAAAGACTCAAACTAAATTTTCTTCTCAATCAATTCTTTCCTTGCTAATTCTTCTCAATTTATTTTCACTCTTATACTATTTTTATAAACTTTTCAAAAATTTCTCTTCTTGTAATGGTTCTTATCAAATGATGTTAAAATGATAATGAAACAATTATTTTAAATCAAATTTGAGACCCTTGATAACTAACCACTTCAATAATAAATTTGATTTTGACTAAAACATGATTTTTTTTACATGATTTTTAATTTTTTTGCTTACATAGAGATGCTGCTCGCCACAATGTATGGTGCAATATTTTTGGTAAGTTGTTTCAACAGCAATTTATTTCTGGGTTTCACAAGTACACCTGTCACAACTGATCTCTATCCCAGAGATTGAGAGGTCTTCACTATGTTCTTGTCCTTGACTTTGACCAGAATATCTCAGGAACCAGCACATGTTGAATGACACAGTCAGGGGTAAGTGGTGCAGCATTTTCCTTGGTGATTGGGTGTTTCAATGATTCTTATAAGAAGAGAAACTATGTCTTTGATACAAGGACTTCACATCCTCTATATGCATAGCTGAGATATAAGAAGATCAGTGGTCATAAACTGTGAATGACAATTTTGAATGCTTACTATCCAGGTTTCTGTTATGACTAATCACAGTTGAAGGTTGTTGTGTTATGTTATGCTGATTGTGCTGTGTACTGTGTGCCCTTGTGTAATGCAGTGTGCCCTGATTACATATGTTGCTGACTAAGTGTTATGCCATGTTTACATAAATATGTATGACATCATTGATATGTTTCACTTCTGACTGGTTTAAGTATTGACT